GGATGCTACGTATTCTGCAAATCATGTGCTCTGCCTGCCGTGCAACCCCATATCATATGTACGAAGCCTACTCAGTCCAGCTCGATGACTTCGTCGTTGCTGGTTGGGAAACAACGTCGCTTTGCGGGCCTCTCATTCACCATCTCAACGTCTCCATCATCACCATCGTCATCGGCACGGTCTCGCTTGCGTGTCTCGGCCTCTTCCTGCTTGAGCTGTCATATCCGGTAAGCTTCTGTCTAGATAGCAGAGGGTGAAAGAAACTCACGTAGATTTTATTCACCTCCTCTTCTGAGACCACATCCTTGACTAGTGCTGGACTCGGTGATCGGGGGAGAATGGCGAGTGACTTCAGGGCAGCTGCAGAGCGGTATCTGAACTCAATGACGGCGAACGGGCGACCTTCTCCATCGACGTAGTCAGCCTCCATGAACTTGACAGGTGCGATGCGCTCAGGCGGGTCGAGGCTGTCAGGATTGTTAGCGCATGATAGCAAGCCAGCTTTGCAATACGTACGTAGTCTTGTGCGAGACGGATGAGCCTTTCAAAGCCTTCTCAGGGACTTTGTCGTACTGGTACATTGACGGGACATCCTTCCATGCAGCCGCCATGCGTACATTGGTGACTTTGTGGAATGCTATAGAGATGGTACCCGTGTGTGCCAGTTGCTCCTGAAGCTCGTGCTCGATTGCGCTCCTCTCATCGTCTAGACACGTTAGCCATGTGGCAGAAATGCTGACTAGCTACACTCACGAGTATCCAGAGAGGCGAAGCGGAAGCGCTGGCCCATGAAGTTACGGCCTGCTTTTGCGCTGCTGGCATAAATGTGCCTCGAGACACCGTAGTAGTCGTAGTTGCGCTTCTCGAAGATGAATTTGCGCATATCCACACCGTCGATGCTGACTATGGCCTTGATGCTATAGTGCTCGAAGAGGTAACCGGGGATGTAGTAGCGGACACCGAACTGCTCGCCTGCTTCAGACTCGATGTAGACTATCTTGGTTTGGAGGTTAGCATCTTCATGGTCATACAGTTCATCAACGGGGCGATTGTCCACAAGGACAGACGCTTCGAGGTTGGGAAAGAGAGGGTGTGGGGCCATGACGAGGAGGTCCGTGACGATAGATATTGAGAGCAAATGAGAATTGCTATCTGACGCGCTCTGTGTACAAACAACTGCTGTTGTGGGCAGGAGCAGTGTGAGTACGTCAGCAACCATATGCTTCATGCCGGCGAGGCAGGCACAAGGCAACGACGACCTCACCGCTCACCTCACTGAGTTCTACAACCCTGGATTCATTTTATGTTACTCCTCCTTGCCATCGCTATTGAAAGATCCCTTTTTCATTCTGAACACGCATTTGGTCAAAAACGCGGTGAACGAAGTAGGCTGCACGTGCCGCACTCTCAGGGCTGTCTTCGACACAAAATAGGCCCTAGGCATATACAATAGCTATTAGTTTCCAGCATGACAACTCTGATTGCAGCGTATACCTTCAGGCTGCATGTTCGGAGTACGCAGCCCAAAGCATACTAGCTTCTGTATACTCGAACTTCCGCTTCGAGCGCTGACGTCGCAGGACGCTAAAAAATACAGGCCGACTGTTCTGTCCGTCCAACGCTAGTTGTTGGACTAGCAGCAGTCAGATGTTCTACTGATATTAGTGTTGCAGCCGTTATGACGCCCCATCCGCAGCGAGCCGGTCGTCAAAAAGAAAAACGGATGCTGGAATGACCAGATGCATATGGAATGTAAATAGAGCATTATAGCTGGAAATTTGTCAAGCAATGAACTATGCGCGAGACATCGAGAACCGTTTGATATGAGGCGCGTTGATTGTTGCCTATGAAATCGCTCCCGCTCTTACTTCCAAGGTTTATGACCATGACTCAGCCTGGCAATCATTATTGTCAATTACAGAAAAGTGTTTCTGGCTGTAGCCCAAACTCCGATGATAATGCAATGCTTTGAGTTGAATGAATTCGTGAAAGGAGTGTGTCGTAAAAGTTCGTGAGTATGTCGTAAACATCGTATCGCATCAGGATGTCGCCATCATCATGGTGCCGTCTTTTCCTCCGGTACCGGTTCGTTCAATCGTGCTTCTCGTGACTTTCTTCGGAGGCGTGCTTGGAGGGAGAACATCACCAGTATTATCAGAGCATTCACGATCATGACGATCTGCAACCATTTCACAGTTACCTGATAATATGTCAGTGGGTGATCTGCGACATGACGCGGGCGACTGACCGCTTCGGTGCAAGCTATGCTGGTATTCTCGCGGTCTCTCCTTGGCACGAAGCCTGGTTGATAGTTGCAAGCTGCCATCTCGCGTGTGCAGTACTGATTCGTGTTCATTTTGCCACTCATCATCAACCTCTCGGAACTGCAGCCCCACTGGTCGTCGCCTCGTTCGGTATAGTGAAGCACGACGGCTGAAAGAGCAGTTGCAGATCCAGCAAGAGTGGTAACAACAATACTAAGCATCCAAAAGCGACGTGTGCTCTGGAGGTGGTCAGTCTTGTCTAATCAAATCGACCTCAAAGATACGTACAATGTTGTACTGCGAGTCCATATCTGGTTTGCGCAACGTACTCCAGGCAATAAGAGCCACAACAGCCGCCGTCAAGTTCAGACATCCAGAAACGATAGTCGCATCTGTCGAGGCCTCCTTGAAGTAAACGATTGTGTCGTCTGTCTCGTACTGTTGCAGTCGGTCGTTGAAATTGCTTGTTACTACTTTGAGACCGCGTGGTATGACCCAATCTGTAAGGATCCAGTAATGCGTCGTCAATGCCACCGAGACGAGGGATATGAGGAAGAAGACAATTGACGGCACCAGGGCGAATTTCAAAATCTTGTCGTATTGAAGCATGTTGACGTTCAGGAGTCGGTCCTACACTGTGGCAGGACGTCGCAAGTGATGGCCAGATTCCAAAAAGCGGAATAGCAGCCCGCAAGTACATGGGCATGACCTACCTAAAATAAGGCGCGACGCTCGTCCGTTTCCTGCTGCGCCGTTCCAACTACCAGGCGGATGTCTAAAAGCTTGTGCGGGTCTCGGCGCGCATCATGACCCGCCTCTACGATCCTCTGCCATGTCAGACATCATTAGGCTGCGCTACGCTTGATCCGCACCATAGACCCGTCACTTTGACGACTGGATGCGATGAGAGTCCCTCGTGTCGTGGAGTTTCATTCAGACACCCGCACTGTCTGCGCTGTGAGATGCCTGATGTCTTTGCCGTACCGACCTAGATGGGTAGCGTGTCAGCCACGCGCCGCGGGCTTCACCGCATAAACGGCAGCGACTCCGAGGCCTTGGTCGACTGGAAAATCGCGCTTGATGTTTGTTTCGCTGGTCGCCTAGCTGGGCGTAAAGAAGATCTGGTTTTGATTGGCAACGTTTGAATGTCATAGCTCTAGTTGGGGTTGAAGAACGTCATCAGGCCCCTGTGAGGAAGCAGCCGGCATCTGTGGATGGTATTGCCAAGACTTACCTACTTGTCGATTTGCCGTCGAACCCGACACCTTACCTGTTGCAAGCATACATCATCATTTCGGGTTCGACGCAAAACGCAGGTACAAAGCGGGGAAACTGGGGTGGCTGGTACTGCCAGCCTCGTACAGCGTTCACATTGCTGATTACGTAGCAGGTAAGGCGCTGCTTCGCACCATCCTAAAGCGGCACTGCATCAAAGAACCAACACAGGTTGGTATCATCTTATCGCTTTCGTTTCTTTTGACAACACATGAATAGGACTTGTGCACTTAGCTCCTACATTGGGCCAGCAGCTCACAGCTCCTGCCATCCATTTGCCTCCAGTGACCAGTCTGGCCGAACTCCACATGGAACACAGCCAGGCCAGTACCACTCAGGCTTCCGCCCGCTGACGGAGTTCCGGTACCCAAACCACATTCTTTGAATCTCAGGCCACTGGATGAATCGACCACTTCCACCGCGAAACGTACTCTCCCTGTCTCCGACATCTGCTATGGTGAGGTCAGGTGGATACCTCCTCGTCCATGCAGGAGGATCGGGTTGGGTTGAATTCTGTTGAGTCGCCATGCTCCATCCACTTTTCCAGGACGATGACTGCCAGTAGAACTCGTCTATTGTGACACTCCAAAATTTCCACTTTCCATTTTCAGAAACGATTTGGTCCTGGTATATGGCAGAATTGAAGCTGCCCGCTTTGTTGACGGACGTCGAAGGCTGCAACAATCTCGCTCGCAGGCTTGCCGATCGGCCATCTTCTGAGACGATGATGATAGGCTGCGGACGCCAGTGGAAAGATATGCTAGATCGGAGTGCCGAACGGTTCGTACCATACGATGCCTTCATTGCTCCAGTTATACGTTCGGGGGTATGGAAAAATCCTGCGAATGGCGATGCTTTGTGTCCATTCTTCGCGAACAGCTCGCCCAGCTGCTCCCCTAGAATATCGTCGGCGTAATAGCCGTAAGCATGGGACAAGTTCTCAGTACCATCACAGGCTGCACTACGTTGGAGGCGGCGCTTAAGGGCGTTGACCGTCACATTTGTCGAACAGGTCGTACTCCCTTGTGCCACAGGGCTGCTAGTGACATTCAAGAATGGCGGGATAACTGCATCTGAGGACTTCAATCCACCTTGTCCCCACCCGATGTAGTAATCAGCAACGATCTGTGGCGCCACCACAATATCCTGGACCTTCCAAAACCCATCCTCTTTGACAAACCGGTTCCTGAAGACATTAAATTCCCATGAGGCAACCTGGCGATTGACATCACCCAGCATGGCAATTTCGGTACCACGAGCTATAGCCTCTCTACCGTTTTCTGCCACTTCAACAATCATGTCGAAGATCGGATGATCGTTGTTGACCCCTTGCGTCAAGCCCTCTGGACCCATGCGTTTGAGAAATTGTCTGACACCAGCCTTACCTCTTAGTGCAGTTTCGTTGCCAATGCGTACAGTCGTATTTGCAGTATGCAAATCCACGACATCTGACCACATCCTTCAATCAACGTAGTAGCCATGGGCATGCATCAAGTTCCGAACATCGTCTTCATCGTTCAGCCTCTGGATCCTAGCTCCTAGTCGCTCGATGGTCCCATTGTACGGTTCAGGGTCTCCCACTGCTGGCGGTATCGGTAGTCCAGACCCTTCGGCTGTGAAATGATACGGAACAATCGAGATGCCCTTGCCGTTAACATTACGCCAACCGTTTTCGTAATCACCCTTGTACATGTCGTAGTAGTGTAGCAACGATATATGCCACCGATTGTCCATCAAGACATATTCGTTTTCGTATACTCCGCCCTGGATTCGCGTTCCACCCTTGCCGTCGCCCTGGAACCAGATGCCGTTCCAGCGTCCTTTCGCACGCTTTCCGTCAATGCTCAAGCTAACCACAGGGGTCTCGACGATCATTGTACTGAGGGACCCAGAAACCAAGCCGTTCATGTCACCAGAATCGTTGCGCAGCCATGTTTCGATTGACGCCGGACCATGAGCGGTCATGTTGCCCCAGATGAGGGTGCCGTTGATACTGAAGAGTTGAGAGATGCTATTCCATTGCCCATACTGTGCGAAGTGGGACAATTGCCTTTGGAGGTCTTTGACTCGTCGCACCGATTCGACGCGCGCTACTTCGCGAGCGAGGGTACTTACATCGAGCGTTGCATCAACGAAGACTGCACTAAGAAGGAAAAAGAGACATAGAAAGATAGAGAACAACATGACGAGCATCACAGTTTTGCGTGTTCTGTTGCGGCGTTACACGCCAAAATGAGGGTTAAGTTATATCCTGGAGCCCCACATACTCATGGCAACTTATTACTACCGCATATGGTCATTGATATTAATGCGCCGGCTATTGTCCGAACAATTCAACTACCGTTGAAGCAGGACCGGCATATGAACCTGGCTTTGTATACCCCTCATAAATCCTGAACATCTGAGCTGAGCTTACATCCCGCAGTGGCGAGAAAGTTGTCTCAGTTGAACGCCTTCTATGTAGAAAGATTACAGAGTGACAACGCCACCCGATCCGCGCCTCCAGAATAACTTAATTGGGGATTGAAGGGTGCCCCAATAAACTTTCTGCAGTGATTTGAAGCGCTCCGGGTAACCCCCGCTGTGCCCCATCGCATTTGAAACGTACCAGACCAGCTTTGATCCCACTACAATGGCCTCAAAGGATCCCAGTGTAAGAATTGTGGCGGGATCGACAATTGGTTCGAGTGCCCGAAAGTCGAAGGTGATACTAGCAAACATGATCGGCTTGGCTTCGTGCCGGACTTGACGACAGACATGAAGGGCCGTGAAGGGCCATGTCGTGTAACCCTTGATGACCGATCGAGGGACGACACGTGCGATCCGTGGAGCAAAAACTTCTTTGTATATGCGGTTTCGAAGTTCTGCTGGTAGGCGAAGCAGTGGGGAGGAGAGCTGGTTTTGCGCAGCACTTGGGTCGATGTTAGTGAGTCGATAATAGTGGTCGAAATAGCTTACATTGAATCGCAGTCTCGGTCGGTCACCATGTTGGTGCGTTTGAGCCTATGTCAAATAGTGGGGGTACCCGGGATGTGATAGACAGAGGTGAGTTGCATCAAGAGGCAGGAAGAGAGATTGAATACCCCAAATGACGGACCGTAGTAGCGCCGCCAGGCAACACACTCGCCACGCGCACATTCCATATTAACTTCGAACAGCACCGATTACGATATGGAAAGCGCAGGTCTTCTGCTCATATCAACACGACGGGCCACGGACTAGCTACCATAATGTCTGCGTCAACTTCTATTGTTTTCTAGCTAGTTCAACGTAGCCAAGTTCGCGGATGCGGAACATTCGGAAAACATCTTTGGACTCGTATCGCTTTCTCCTCTCCAGCCTGTTAGCCATACATATCCTACAAGGTGAAATAGTAATGACATGTGTCATTTCAGACTCTACTAATCAGTATTCTTTTCTCAACTTGTGTGACTCTAAGTACTTTTTTCCTTATACGATGTCGTATCCGAGCGTCTAAGCGGGTAGGTAAATATGAAACTCCGCTGTGTACCGTATTACGTCATTGTTTCTACTACTCACCCTTTCTCCTACGCTTGAAGCTCCCTTTGGCGCACACAATGTATCTCGATTTGCGTTATTGGTAGACAAGATGATAGCAAGCTGAAGTTATCGAAAAAGGTAGCGTAAATAAACGGTTGCTCATAGGGCAGCGTCAAGGGAAGATCTCGATATTCATCATAGTAATGAACTAGAACACTAGAAATTCAGGGACAGAGGTTTTCAATGGAGGACAAAAAAAATCTCCAATTTAAACGGAATATGTACGAAGTGATAGAATGTATATACAAGAACAGATGAAGTTACTCTCCTTTAAGCGATAGCTGATTCCATCAGAGTCGCTTAGATCTTTCCGTAACCAGCGGTCTGCTGGACGTTCTTGGCGCTGGCAGCAGTACCGGCAGCGGCAATGTTCTTGCCCTTCATGCCGGCAATGATGCTGGTGTCAGAGCCAGCCATGGTGCCAGAGCTGCCGTAAGCGTTGGGCTCGCAGTTGCGGCCCATAGCAGACTTGCAGGCAGAGCCGTTGGAGCCAACAGCGAAAACCTTGCCTGGGAGACCGGACTGAGCAGCCTCCTTGACGTTCTGGAAAACGTTACCCTCAGCGATGATCTTGGCACCAGAGTCGGCCTCGAAAGCGTGCTGGGAGTTGGCGTAGAAGTAGTTGTTGACGGCGTGGAGAAGGGTGTTACCAGCGACCTTGGGGGAGCGGCCGGAGGTGTGGTGGATGTAGTTGCCCTTGAGGGTGACCATGTCGGAGCTGCCAGTGAAGTACATGCCCCAGTAGTGGTGGCCATCGCAGGTAGCAGACCAGGCGGTGGCACCGTTGATCTCGTTGTTGGTGATGGAAACGCGACCGGAAGCGCCGTTACCGAGAACAATGTGCTGGCGGGCGATGAGGTCGGTGGTGACGTGATCAATCCAGATCATGTCGGCGCCGTCAACGGTGATGGCATCACCACCCCAGACGTATTGAGGGTTGATCTCGGTGAAACGGACATTCTGAACAATGATGTTCTTGACGTTGCCAGTCATGCGGATACCCTTGCCCTTGATGACACCCTTGCTGCCCTGTCCAATCAAAGACTTGTTGGACTTGACAGTGATTCCGAGCATACCAGCCTTGTCATAGGTGATGCTGCCAACCTTGGGAGCGTTAGGCTGGTAGTTGTCGCACCAGCCGTCCTTGTTGATGGCGATCTGGCAAGCGGAGCCAGTTCCCCATGGGCGGCAACCGGCAGAGGTAGCCTTACCCTCAGTGCCAGTGAAGTCGAAAGTCTTGGTGAGGACAATGACACGAGGAGAAGAGTCACCGAGGTAGCTGATGAGCTCCGCAGTAGTGGAGGGGTAGACAGGTTTGGCGCTGCCACCACCAGTGACACCTAGACAATGTTAGATTGGAGTCAGAGATGGACATGTTGTGAGATATACCCTTAGCAAAACCCTCAGCAGCGCCCTTGACGGCGTCAGCAGCGCTGACACTAGATGCGAAAGCCGCAACAACGGCGGTGAAGAGAGAGTACTTCATAGTGAAAGGTTATCGGATTGAAGATAAAGAATGGCTAGCAAACACAGTTTGCTGAAAAGAATGACAGATGATGAACGAGATAATGAGTGAATGATGATAGAAGCTGGATGATAAGATCCGGTGGCTGATCTCGCATCTTTATATCTGACAGGATTCTTGGCTGGTGTTTGAACCCACGCCCCACTCACTCTACGGAGATATATTCCCTTCGAGCATCCACCTGGATCCTTTGGCGCCGTTCATCACCGACTGCGGTAGATGTCGGGCATTTCCAGGTGTTACCAGGAGCGCGGCGCTGGACGCCGGCGTCTGGAAGGGGCGGAAAGTAACTTCGACCGACTGAGAGTCATGAACAGGTCAACAGTGCGTAGTTTGGCGTTGATGCGCTCAGGGAAGAGTTGCTTGACCGTTGTTTGCAAACAGGATGGCGTTGCGGATGTAGCTTCCCAAGGAGTCTAGTCCCGACAGTCCCGCTGTTGTTGTTTCATGTCAACATGACAGGGCAGCCGCTAGCTCCACAAAAATCATGCCTGGGTCATAGTTGGAAACATTTTGATTGAGCTTATCCGACATAAGATGAGAGGATTGCCCCTTGTTGGAGGAAGGAGACTTGGCTTGTGGCTCATGAGGCTGTGCTCTGCGATGTTATAGGATTCATTTTTCCGATAGGTGGAATCTACAAGTTCCAAAACAGGCTGGACCGAGAATGCAAGGCTGACGGGAAAGTGTGATGAACAAGAATGGGACAGATGGTTAATTAAAGAATGCAAAGTGATACCATCGCTGCTGTCGCGCATTTCGTTGCTTGGAGTAGTGATGTACCCAGCTAGTGCTATTAGCTGTCACCTGTCATCTGTCATATAACGCGCAATAACGCAATCCATCCCACGGCTGTCGGGAAGGTTGAGGCGTAAAGTTTGTAGTTGTTAAGTTTACTTCCCGTAGTATAGAACGGGTGGTGGGAGACAGAATGGCACGGGCAGAAGATGGAGGGATGGTGGAGAGGCGTGATAGGATGACAAAACGGTGAGGCAGGGGTCGTGGCGACACTAGCGCGTTTTACTCACGGCTAGAGGACCAACACGTGGTTGTGCATGACGCTTTGCCTACTTTCCAATAGCTAGCCACAACAACGAAATGAAGCAACTTGAGAAGCCCAAGTCTCTCGACTGCCAGACTGCATAACCCAATTACACAGCTCAACGTCGACTAATCGCTGGGCTGCGAGGCCTGCACGCGACTTTCAGCATGAGGCGCCAACCATACAAGAGTAGCCGAAGCTATGAAAGGCAGAGCAACTCCTACCGTGCAGCACCGAGATACAGTAGCCAAGTTCCTTGTGATTACCAGGATACCCATCTTTCATCAGACTGCATCTCCTCGCCCACCGATTCGAGCTCGGACTACATCACCCCACGCCGTGGATCTTATGAAAACTCCCCTCCTAATTATAAGCAATATGTAAATCGGGCCATGGATTACGACTACACTACGCAGACAAGGCGGAGCAGGGATGGGAACGGGTTCTCGCAGCCTCGTCCGGGCTACCAACCGCGACCGACTCGTCGGCCGCATAGGACTCGATCTCAAGATTCAGACTACATAGCACAGGATTCCCAGTCTGACGATGATTACATAGCCTCACCTGAGCTGAAGAGAGATGTATGGAGGCATCGTACGTCAAGCTACGACGACCGGTACAGCGACAATTCTTTTAGGGAAGCCTCACCGATCCGTGACTCTTCATCAAGACATCACAGTGAAAGTCCACCTTCAGACTATGCTCAGCATCCCGAAAGGCGAAACAAGCAGAAAATCAAGGCAGGCTGGGGTAGCAGCGACTTTCACACGCAAAGCCACAGCTTGAATCCTCGAGAGCATGAAAACTATCGTGAAGCAAAGCAATTTCTGGATCGCTACACCAAGCTCCACGCTCACCCTGCGGATCGGTCCGACACCGAATCCTACAGTACCGGCGATAGTAGCCCAGCAAATCGCCAAGATGAATCTTACGAGCGATATCCAGGCCCTCAACGAGATGCTGAGGATTACTACGCGCCAAGTCGAGACAATTACCGAGAAAGACACCATGAACAACGTACTCGTTCGCGGCATGCGAACGACCGTTACCACCGGCCCGAGGGGGAGTACGACGAGTACAACCAGCGCAACCGCTATGAATCTCACTCAAGGAATGTAGAACCCCAATTTAGTCGGCCTGGTCCATCCTGCCCAGACGCTGAAGACCAGTATACGAGCACCTTTTCAGCTCCTCATCCCTCAAGACATGCAGACCGCTCCTTCAACCGGTCCGGCCCCGTATATCCAGACCGCAGGGACAATACTCACGCCATTGCATACTCCGACATAGCTTCTCGACCCAGTACCTCACATTCCGACCGCTTGTCTCGCGTACCCACAGCCGTTGACTCAGAAGACTATCCCTCACCGCCTCCTGCGGTACCTACACCACCTTTACTTGGGCGGCAGCGGCGGCAGAGCGGTAGTGACTATGGTCTCATGCCTGGTGCATGGGGAAGCAGGAGCAGAAGTAGAAGTAGGAATGGATATGCATCTGGAAGGAGCACAAGGAGTAGGAGTCCCTACACCTCTCCTCCTAGACGGAACAAACACACCAGGAATAGAAGGATGATTGGGAGCTATATGAGTGACAGTGATGATGACGGTTTAGGGGAGGGTGATGACTACCTCCCTAGCGACAGCGACGACGATCGAATCAGTGTGGGTGGTGGAGGGCAGAGTGATATCTGCGAGAAAGATAGTTGGCGCAGTAGAGATGGAGGAGGGTATACGAGTGAAGGGGTTGAGAGTGGTGTTGCTGGAGGTGCATCTTATCGTGGAAGATGGTAGTGAGGATCAAGTGCAAGTAGGCGAAGATGCGGCTTCCGAGTGAAGGACATAGAAGTGTAAAAACTTGATAATATCGCCATCTCACACTCTTTTCTGAGATGCGGTGAGATGGTACCACTACCATTGCATTAACATCTTCATCAAACCGGAAGTATATCGTATGCACAATAGTATGGTAATCCTTGCCCGTATTCAAATAGTTCGAGCCACCTGTCTCTTTGATATGGTACAATGTTCACTTTTTCGTCTCTTCATCTCTGTTCCTATGCACTGGCTGTCGCCTCGGTAGCATCAGGAACGCCCGCCTCGGCCAGAACCTCTGTTGGCTTCAGTTCTGCGGTTGACATGGGCCCCGTAGGCCACGGCTTCCCCCTCGCATCTTGAACGCGGATAATCTGGTTCTTCGGTCCTGGTACGCAGCCTGCATGCGGTGTTAACATCCAATCACACTGGTTCGCTTCATATTTCTTACCATTGACAACAACAATGCCATTCTGCTCGTCGATCTGTAACACCCTCAAGTTCTTGACAGTCACGCTCTCATTGCCCATGTTTCCCGGCATACGCTTGCCAGGTAGCACACGAGAACCTGAACCTTGGGAACCTCCGGCTGAACCCATACCACGATGCATGAGCGATTGACCGTGGGATGCTGGTTGACCGCCGAATCCGTGTCGTTTCATACCCTGAACACATCAGTTGTCAGTCCCTGTTCCTATTGCAGCTCATATGCCATGTTGAACTTACACCAGCGAATCCCATTCCCCTGCTTATCGCCTTGACATCCACCCATTGTCCCTTTGTGAACCACCCCGCGCCAACCATCTCCCCGATGCCAACGCCCAGCCCTGCCTCGTCCCTAACCTTGAATTCAACAACCCACCTCTTAGGACTCACGCCCGCACCCGCAAAATGTCCCAGCATGGGCCTGCTGACATTCCGCGCTTCTTTTTGTCCAGCACCGATCTGCACCGCCCAGTATCCATTTTGGTCTCTCCGTTTGTGCGCAACCACTTCATTACGGTCAAGTTGTAGAACGGTGCATGCTGTGCGCTTCCCTGTTTCGGGGTCGTAGATGGATGTCATGCCCTTCTTGAGGGCGAGAAGACCCGTTCGCAGGGGTGTGCTGTGGGCTTTTCGCTCGAGCGCTGCGGTAGATGTGCTGGTGAGGGCTTCTCGGGCGGGATGATGTGCGAAGCGGTCGGGTTTGGGCGTGAAAGTGGATTTTATGGTTCGGATCGATGTGTATGCGATGGCGGGTCTTGAGGATATTTGATGCGCATTTTGCTGGAGGACGGAGCGCGCTGATGAAGGAAGAAGAAAGGATGGTGGTAAGAGACCCCAATTGAGGGGTGCTTTGGGTGGCATTGTGATTATGGTATGGATACGTGGGATATGCGGCGGTGATTGTTCGCCGCGGATATTTTGACATTCCCGGCTTGAAGCTCAGATTCCTGCACGGACCACATCCCGCACGTGTAGCCGCGTTCACAGTCACGCTGCGAGCTAGGCTCAAAGTATCCTAGCAGCTCATCGTGGGGTATCCGGACCCCCCTCTAAATGAAGTAGGCTTCATCACAAACTCGGATATTGTGAAAGTTTCAAGCAGTGTTGTAGGAGATGTTATGTTTTTGAGCTTTTAGAGCACAGCCATGTCCAGCAGGCAGGGTACCGAGATACAAGGAGACTATACAAGTCAGATACCACCCGTTCTCAACGTACAGCTATATACCATCTGCATCTCTCTTTCCCACAAAAGCAAAAAAACTATAGCAATGGGTATCCTCCAGGTTGTAGGAAACGCCGTTAACTCCTGCACCACACAGTGGTGCGTAATGTGACATGCAAGACCCATATCAAATAGGTTAAATACCTCGCGAATATCTCGTACATGACGAACTGTTCTGGAAGATTGCGAGAACACAAGGTGATTGTTGTACTGAGTATCTCAGTTAGGTAGGATGATCGCAGGATTTCCATGAGCGACGCAGTTGGGGGGCAAAGACTATACAAGGTCAGTATACGGATATTCAAATCATTGCAGGATTGAGAGCTTACGCGAGACACCACAGAACCCGGACGCACTATGGTATTGGGCCCAATGTGAACTCCTGCCTCGATCACACAATTATCGCCAATGTACACATTTTCCCCAATGTGTACTTCTTGCGCGATCTCGGTACCGTTGCTCCCTTTCAATGACTTGTTATCGGTGGGTGTTTTCAAAGTCTGTATTGTGACCCGAACTCCAATCTTACAGTTCCTTCCGATAGAGATCCTTGCAGAGTCGTGGAGATGGCAATCAGCACCAATGACAACATTTTCGCCCATACTAAGGTGGTAGCCGTAGTCACAAGCAAAAGGCGTAGCGACATGGCAATTGGGACCCATGTGAATCTCAATTTGCTTTCCTTCGCGATGACGACTTGCATTCAGAATCTGTTTGAAAAAGTGGTCGACGGTTGTGCTCGACAAAACGTTGGAGGGATTTGCCTTGCTGCTGTTGAAGATGGACTGGGCTTGCGTGCTAAGATGGCGTTCGTGCATTAGGGTCTTGTCAAAGGGGTTAAATGGCTCCCCCGCTAGCATCTTGTCTTTCTCAGATCTATACGTCATTGAGGAGGACTCTGTAAAGCGCGTCGGTGATCGCGTGGGTGGCAAGGATGTTGGCGGTGGAGGAGGCGGCGGACGAGGATGCTGCTGTGCCACATGTAGCTGTTGGACAGGCTTGGCGACCCTGCAGATGTGTAAGCTGATGAAGTTCAAGTACGTTTGTGTTTTGAATACGCATGACAGATACGATCCATTGTCGGCAGCCTTGTCTTTCAACTCGACGTGTTTTCAGCTAAGAGGAAATACTCACATAGTGGTGGCAGGGACAGCAGTGTTGATAGCGAGGTGATTCGTGCTTGGTGGAGCATGGTGATAGCCACGAGAGGTATGGTGAGGCTGCTGTTGCTGTTGAGATACCGGTTGATGATCGTGGGTTGAGGGTCTCTCATAGTGGTTTGCCGCAGGTTGCATATACTGTGCCGGGGGCGGCGGGGCCTCCGGTTGGTAAGCTGCTCGGACTGGTGGAGGTGCAGGATCACTCCAGGATGACTTCCAAGGCTTGCGCTCGGTACTGTTGCCTGGATGCATTTCGGGTGGTGGGTAAGGGGTTTCACTGCTTTGTGGCCCACAGTGGGGCGTGTGCTTTTCTTGACATGTTGGGCACGACGTATAGGCAGCATACTTCTCCTTGGCTAGTATGGCAGGCGGTTTAGCAGGCCCATTCTTTGGCCAAGGTACTTTGTTGGCATAGCCCTCACAAACGAAACCGCCTCGTGTGCAATTATTGCCTGGTAAGGGTCAGACTTTGTCAGACTTGGAACGCATGTTCAAACATACACTCTGGTTTGGCCTCATCGCACTTCTTCTTTCTCCTTCTGCAGGTTCCACAACCAGTCTTAGTGCGGTTGGCAAATTGCTAGAAAAGTTAGTATAGTAAAGGGGGTGGACCAAAGATACATACCCGTTTCCTCTTCTTGAGCTCGACTTGTACGCCGGCACGCGTGAATTCAGTCTCTTCAATCATGTCGCGCGACTCGGGTGACAAAGCATTGTTGCGGGAAGGCTCTGTAGGACGTGGCTCACGGGGTTGGAAATGATGAGTCGCATGAGGCAGTTCACGGGGCTCGGTCTGCCAGCGGCGTTCAGCATCTGGACGACCTAATGGAGGCAAACTTGGTAATTGAGGGGTCTCCATGCTCATGGTCGTGCTGCGGTTCAGAGGCTGGTAGGGAGGCGGAAGCTGTCTGGGGCCGGCAGTCGTCTGATCAGGGCTGTGCTGACCGTAGGCGCCTTCGTCGGATCCAGAACGCCTCCTCTTGTTTGGGTTCTCGGGAGACGACCTTGTCTTGTCAGAACTATTGGGAGACTTATCTCCACTGCTAACAGTGGACGAGCTCGAATCGCTGTCTGGAGAGTGACGGTTGTGCTCAGGGTCTGGAGAGGTAGGGCTCCAAGCAGAAGATTTAGCGACAACGGATGGCTTTTGCTCGTCGGGTGGACTCAGAGACAAGCGGCCATTGACGGACGTGAAGGCGGGGCCATGGGGAGCGGAATTAAATGCAGGCATATGCAGTACGGTCGACATGTCCAAGGCAGGATATCAGAGGCTGGATGGATGGTTCACGGAATCAAGTCGAATCTACGGTGGAGTGTGGGCAGGGTGTCCAGCCACCATAATCTTGCCAGGCAGTTTTGATGGGCTTGGTGAAGCTGGATGCAAGTGTGCAGTGAAAGATGTCGGGGATGAAGTCGGTGGTTACACTGTAGCGTAGTCGAAGCAAGATGAGTTCAACGGTCAGGCCAGGTACCGTGCGGGAGTCGAGGACGTGTGGCCAGAGCGGAGTCTGTGCTCTGAGGTGTTGTGGTGGTCGAAGGAGGTTCCTGGCGAGCACGGGCGTGTCGTGGTGTTGTCGGGCGATGATGCGATGCCAGCGAAGCCGCCTCTCCACGGCGGGGACTGTATATGGCGGGAAGACTGTATATGGCGCGACGAATGTGGGAGGGGCGACCCGACGACGCCAGACGCTGGCCACGGGTGAGCAACAGGATTCAACGGAGGGCGGCTGTTCGCTCCTTCTGCTGGCGCACACATGGGCTCTACACATCCCGGGCAGGCACCCATGTCGTCCCTTCCTCATTGGCCCGAGCTGCAGGCGGCCCCTGCCCCCCGCGTTTATCTGTCCCACCCGAGCTGCGACAGAACCATCACCGAACACCTCGTAGAAGGACCACAGACGCGGTTCCTTCGACTATCTACATAATAGACCCTGCATTTTGACCGCTGCCACGTTTTTTGGGCGGAAAAGTCGCGTCTACAGCCCTACAGCCGTTTTCTGGGTGTAGAGGAGGGTAGAGTGGGCGGAGAGGCCTCCAGGATGGCACAGACGACTGCGTGCGACGAGCGCTCCCGGCGTGCTGGCATGCGAGGTTGATCGACCAGAAATCGTTAGAAGGATGCAAGCCAACGCGGAAACACCACATTAAAGTGCTGTGTCGTTGTTATTGGCGCTGGCCCAACCTTAGCTTATCCACCTGCTCCATCACCAAACGCAGTAGCCGCGCTGCACGCCCTCCCTCACCATACACGTCCACCCAACCGCGGCATCAAGCCCGCCAGACAAACCCCCTCTGACACGCAACACGCATCTCTAACCATCGCCCAAAGCCAGCCATGGCTGCTGCGAATCACCACACTCACTCACCACCACCGCTCACCGCGCTGCGTATCGCCCAGCCTCCCGCGCGCTTCCATCAAGGGGTGCCGTCATGGCCCTTCGGCACTGCCTCCTCCTAACCGCCTGCTCAGAGGCCTGCCTGCGCCGGTTTCAAAGCCAGCACCAAACAAGAAGGCGCTCATGGGTCTCGCCGTGTTTCATTTATCAAGATCCACGCCGCACACCACGCCCACCACGCCCACCCGTCTTATGCCCTTAGCATCATCAATATGCTCGCTTGCGGCACTGCTCTGGGCCTGATGCTGCTGCCTCGATCCATTACCATGTTGCGAGTGCGGCTATCCACTGCGTGATGCCCTCCATGGTTGGCTGCCCGGCCCGGCTCGTACACCTTCATCTACGGGCGCTTCGCGTGCAAACTTTTTGCTCGCCAGGAACCCGCACGCTCAAATTGGTCAAACCTCCTCCACTACTTGGAGAGCCGCGATGCTTCTCCTCGGCTAATGTGGCAAGTGAGCAACTTACCCGTCGTATGTTGTATCTGTCTGACTCTCAGGTGTTGCTCGACGATCGGTCATGCGTCTAACCAACCCTTGTACGTCAGCCAATAGAACCTCTCTAGTTTCGCCACGCATTGCACACAAATGACGCCTCGTTAAGCGCGGCCGTTCGTCGGCTGCGACATGTCGTTGTGGTCACTGCAATGTAGTTCATATTATGCGTGCGCATTTCGAGCACAAATCCAACAGTCCGCCGAGCTGGTTCTTGCGGCGCGTTCCGTTCCCGCTAATGATCAGACAAAGACGTGGGACTGCGCCGTACGGCATTTTCCTCGCAACTGTGCCGCTGCATTTCCAGTCCTCTGGTCGCCCAGAATGGCTCACCCCTTGCTTTGGTGCCCAGTCAGCTGACGTCTACTCTGTTCTGAGCCTCGCCTCATCCTTCCGCCATATGACTCGAGTAGCGAACGGGAAGCGCGGAACAGCGCGCTTGTCACCAACGTCCACATGCGCCGCCTACCTCCGTGCTCAATCTCGATTATTCTGTCATATTGATTGTGGAGCAACACATTCCGTGTCCAAGACGACGCGTCTAACCTCCGCTTCTGTTTGGGCTTTATTCAGAACACGTACCCAGTCTCGCCATTGATGTGTTTCCTGAAACTTCGAGGCTTTTGGATCTGGTCGCGCTTACACATCTCCAAATCCTACGGGAACATGCACTGGCTTGAAAATGCTCACCGCGATATTCGCGCTCCTCTTGGCGACGAGATTCGGCATTTCATTAATGCCGGTCACACCGACAGAACCTGAAGGATTGCTCGTCGGCAGTCTGTTGCGGCATTAGTCAGATTTGGTCCAGATCCTAGTGCAGCGTGCTGTACTCGAACTTGGCGACCTCACGATCGTAACAAAAGCTCTACTGTGAATTCCTTTGTATCATATGCTGTCACTCTGTTGAGATCTTGGACATTGAGTGTACCAACGATACTCTTCGCAAATTCAGCCCATTTGGCCAGCACCAAACGGGTTGAGACGATGCCGGGCTGCGGCACAGTCTGCACTCATCTCCGGTTACGTGTGCGGCGTTGGCAGGATCCAGAGTCGAGACGGATTACCAACGCACCTTCCCGGCGTAAGATTCTTGGGATCGATCAAAATTTCGATGTGTTGGCAAGGGAACTGCTGGTGAACTACTGATGAACAGTCTCCCGACAATTTGGTACCGACGGTTCGCTTCAATGGATTCCGCGTCTCTCGCATTAGACAATGGCTGACTGTAAAAACCTACGTCTCTAGCAGAATGACAAAGACACTCGGAATATTACTGGTGTATTGTACTTGATGCTGATTGCAGGATGGCGCGCTAGCTACAACACAATTGCTCCGAAGTCCGCCCTTTCGCAACCATACGAACCCTTCCAATCTTTACGCCCGACAGCTGAGAAGCGCGTCCCGAGGAAGACAAGATCTTGTCGATATATGTAAGGGGTGATTTACGCCCTGCCCGTGCCGCATCTACCGAACCGTCGGTATACGCGCTTCTAATCTGGGATTGCTGTAGCATTCACTCTGGCTCCTCAGTTGGTACAACACCATCTTCCTCCACCGATGAACAGGATCTGAACATGAACCGCATTGCTCACTGGGACGAAACGTCATCATCGTATGTATTGCTTAACGTGGAAGAGTAAGCGCTTACCGAAGCGCTTAAGGTTTCACAAACTGCGTATACATACAACTGCCGGTCTCTTTGGGCCGTATCCTCACCCAGGCGACACGCGGTGTGACGAATCTGCATAAGCTCCCTGTGAGATCTCGCCGCCATCCGATCGCCCAATCAAGAAGCAGAAGTCTCCCGACTACACCTATGTACTTTTCTGGCATCGATCGCTGTATCGTCGTCATACTGCGTTCCCAGAGTGCTACTCCAAGGTTGCATTTTTCAGCATGTGACATTTTGCCCCAGTGAAAAGACCCAAGGTGACGTACTTGGTATATAATATTGTTCGGGGATCCCCTTAGAACAGCATGACTACCCGAGACGTGGCTATATTTATCATAAGCGTACGAAGTATACATAATCGCACTAGCCAACGCCTGCTACATCTGGATAACTACTCCGTTGATAAAAAAAAAACTAAAGTTCATTAATAGCGCCGAACCGTTACATGACTGATGTTCAGGTTTCGCCGCCGATGAATCCGCTACTGGAGTTCATGAATTATGGTCAGGTGTATTCTTAATAGCACCAATCGCAAGTCATCTTACCTGAGACCCAATTTATGTCAAGCATCAACATCATTCGACTCTGTTAATCATCTAGCTCGCTGTAGTCTTGGTCAAGACCAGTTGAGCCCGTTTTTAGACCATGTCTCAAGTAAGATTATTACTACGTATTGGCTGCGCTTGTGGTTTATAATGCCACATTAAGCTTGAATTGTCAGTCGCAGCTCTACTACAATTGATTCCATCGATCAGAGCATATGCTGACTTGGTAGACAGCTCTCCGAAGACAACTTGGCGTTCATTCGATGAATATAGCGGTTTCAGGGTATGCCCCGCTTCGATATCCAGTGGTTCACCCAACATCAAAGTCTCAGTCACGAATCTTACAGCACGCATATTGGCGACTCGATAAGAGAACAAGCCGCCCAAGTTTGTTACTAATGCAAGAATCTGAGTTGATATTCTCATTCGATGCTACTTCCTACTTCCTTTTCTCTCTTGCCGTCCGCATAGTGTACAACTCGAATAACGTTTTCCCACAAAGATCCAAATTTGGGGGGTATCAGAAAAATGCGCGCTTGTTTACTTTGAGGGTAAAAGGACAAAAGAGAAGTGAATCCTCCAACCCTACCATAATCTCCCCTGGCACACTTCTCGTCTGTGTGCATCGTTCTGGATGTGCATATGCTTTGGTATGCTTTCCTCTTCCTCAAATTTGCAGCTTCGACCTCTGCTACCTTCTCTCTCGCTGGTTCCTGCGTCCTTCCGCTCCAGTGTATGCAGGTTGAGTGGTTTGCTTGAATCTTCCTTCTGTTCAAGCTCTAATCCGTCTTCCAGTGACTTGTTAATCTGCCGTCGTCATCCGCATTCGAGATCTTCAATTCGATGGCGTATAGCCCCATTGTAATACCAAGATTGATCCATCTCCAGAAGTTACCTCCAGCGTCACCGCCTTGGTTCGTCCACCACTCACCTGTCACGGCACTTCCGTCGCCCCCATTTCCGCTGGCGAAGTGCTGCATGAGCAGGCTGGTGTAGACGGCGATGATGATACTTGGGCTGAACCAGGTCAAGAAGCCTAGAATCTTTGATGTCTCGTCGTCATCGTCGAGACTTGGTTCTTGGGATAGCGCGCGAGCACCGCTTTCGCGAATGGCAGGAAT